AACAAAACCATAGGGATCCTCTACAAAACCAAGGAAGTGCTAAATAAGAGATCTTTGTACAGTACACATTATACTCTTCATTATTATCACCATATATGACCTACTGTGTGGAAATATGGGAAAATGCCTGCAAAACAAACACACTCCCTATTCTAAAACTACAAAAAAAAGCAATTCGAATTATTAATAGATCAAAATATACGGAACCAACAAATCCACGATTTATCAATTTAAATACAATGAAATTTTATGACCGGGTTGACTTTAAAATCGCCGAATTAATGTACAAAGCACACAATAACCTGCTCTGCCAAAACATTCTGAAGTTTTTCGAAATTCGAGAAAGCAGCTATGATTTAAGAGGTACCAACTTATTCAAAAAACTCAAAACAAGAACAAACATCAAGCAAAGAAGTGTATCTATCAAAGGTGTTAATCTGTGGAATAATTTCGAAACGGACCTGAAAATGAGTAAATCGCTTGCTGAGTTCAAAAACAAATTCAAAAAAATAGTACAAACTACCTACATCAATCAGAGTTAAAATGATAAATTCTAAACATTAAATATAATGATAAATCAGAACTAAGTTGATAAATAGAGAAAGGTATGGAAATATCCATTATGAATACAAGAGAAAATTGACACAAGAGTGCCAGGGTGTGTATGTATAAAATCCGGATACAAACCAAAAGTTGTAAATATATCACGGTTAAGGGTAAAGCATGAGCCTTAATGGAGACTTCTTTCTTCTTACTTTCTTTCTTTTCTGATTGATATAAAAATGATTCATTAGATATAAACACATAACACGGGGTAGGACAAGATAAGTTCCTTACTTCTTCCTACTCCCTTGACCATAATAACTGTGTTGAATGATGACTGATTTCTCTTTCCTTTTTACTATATTACTTAACTTACTTTCTGTCAAATTATTACTGTATATGTTTTATGTTCAATAAACAAACGAAACGAAACTTCTGGAGTCTGTGTGGCGAAAGCATGTTGTTCTCAATGAGCAGCGCCGGGTGCTGTTGTGGCTCCTCCCCCAAATGAAGCCGCTGCTGGTTGATCCCGCCAGGTTTATAATCTGGGCTGGATGTAAATGTAAAACTTTTCTTTTTCTAAATTAAACTAAAAAAACATCAACAAATAAAAATTACAAAAGAAAAAAAGACAAGAAAAAAAAATCCCCCATGTAAATCGCGTATTATCCATCGCCCTGATGACATTATTCAGCGACAGCCAATAGCTAATTTCCTTACTGATGAGTTGGAAACGCTGCTGGAAGTTGTTCAACAGCAGTGAGCAGGTCGCGATCAACCGGCTGTCACCACCAAACGTCAACATGACTGAGAGGAAACGAGCCAAGAACTACCATTTTTACCTTGAGTGGTTGCAAGATTATTTTTTGTTTATTCTCATTCAAAGCCTGTTTGTTTGATTTGCAATGCAACGGTGACATTGCCGAAGAAAGCCAATCTGGGGCGGCATTTCAAAACGGTACACAGGAGCTATGAGACATATTTCCCTGCGAAAACACAAGGTAGAGCTCTTCCCCCATCTTGTTCAAATGGAATGTGGTGGGTGTCCTTGATCAGTGTTTTTCAAACTTTGTTGAGCCAAGGCACACTTCTTTCATTGAAAAAATCTCGCGGCACACCACAAGCTAAAAATGTGAAAAAAAAATGCTTATTTTCACAATTAACGTGTTATATTGTTACTATAAGCGGTTTTAACATTGAAGAATGGCGTTATAACAGCTTGAATTGGAATGAAATGAACCCAAAGAAAAAAGTCTTTTATAATCTTTAATACTGTATTGGCCCGAATATAAGACGGCCCTGATTATAAGACGACCCCCTTTTTTTCAAGACTCAAGTTTGAAAAAAGACTTTTTGAACACCAAATTAATTTTTATACAGAAAATAATAACAGTACATCTGAAACAAATGATTCTAACAATATATTTGAGAGAAAAAACATGTTATTTTGCCTCATTCAAAGCTTAATATCTGAACATTTAAATATGTAAACTAAAGTGCAATCACATTCGTAAATGAATGGCTTCTGGTTTTTGAAATGTAAATTACATCATAACTTCTCCTCAGCTGCCGGTGTACCTGGCCGATCTTCGACCCACTTTTCTCCAGATTGTCGCTATATTTCTCCATTTTCTGTTATCTCTTCTATTATTTTCTTCTCCTTTTTTTCTTTTCTTTTTTATTTTTCCTTCTTCGTGGTACCGCTATTTTAATTTTTATTCTTCGTGACAGGGGTTCGCTTTGGCCTGGGGAGTCAAGTTCAGCATTCGCTTCAATGGTATCTGGCACCATCTAGTGTCGTGAATGGGTATAATGTCTAGACCCCGAATATAAGACGACCCCATCTTTTTCAGTCTTATTTCAATGCAAAAAACACCATCTTATATTCGGTCCAATACGATATTTATTGTTTCACCGTCATCCTGCATTCATGCGTCACTGTCACGTATGCGAGGTGGTGGTGGACCCCAAAAAAGCAGGCAGGAGGGAGGAGCAGGGTGTACTTGAAAGATTGTATTAAAACTCAGAGAAAACGAAATCCAAAACAAACAAAACACATGACTGAAGATAAAACATAACACTGACCAAAACATGAATGAAACAAACATGACAGCAAACAAACATGACAGCAGCAAAAAGCAACAATGACCCGACAATGATTGTTCGGGCTGGGAGTCCTTTTAAAGCCACTAAGCAAAAAGCAACAATGACCCGACAAAAAACATGACCAAAAACATGATCTAAACATGACTGACAAACAAACATGACAGCAGCAAAAAGCAACAATGACCTGACAATGATTGTTCGGGCTGGGAGTCCTTTTAAAGCCACTAATTACCTAATGACCAACAGGTGTGCAGCTGCAGGGAGACCCTACAGTGCCACCTGTTGGTCCCAAACCGAATCATGACAGTCACAAATTTGCTTGTCTCATGTGACAAGTCTAAACATAAGGCAATTGGCTGCTCCCTAGTAGTATGGGAGGGTACTACACAATTACTTTCTGGGCGATAGACCGGATAGGCATGCAAATTGGATATTTTCCCGCGGTACACAGGGTTTGAAAATCACTGTCCCAAATGCATAAGCTATGTTGTCTAAAACCAACAACTCAACGGCCCATTTTGTCAACATTGTTCTGTAAATGCAGCAAGGTGTAGCTCTTCGCCCGCCTGGTTTAAATGAAATGTGGTGGTTTTCTTAACATTAGCACGAGAACGGTCAGCCACTTGGCTGCCCTTTGGGCATTCTATGCAGGAAAGCCAAATGGCTTGGCCTTTGGGACTTACACTCGCACCTACACTCGCACCTAGGGACAATTTAGAGTCTAAATTGTCCCTTGGTTCGAGTGTAAGCACAGATGGTTGTTCGTCTGTGTGTGCCCTGCGATTGGCTGGCAACCGGTTCAGGGTGTCCCCAGCCTATTGCCGGCGGGGATAGGCTCCAGACGGCGGGGATAGGCTCCAGAACCTCCCGCGACCCTTGTGAGGATAAAGCGGATCGGAAAATGGATGGCTGTCATGTGAGATGAATTAGCGAATCTCATTTTTTCTGTTTTAGGGCTCCATTCAGAGTTCCAAAATCGATCCGATTCAGTTCACATCGGCCCAATTTAATTTACAGTTCACTTGGTTGTTTGATTTTCGATTCAGTTAAGGATTTCATGCAGTACCAATGTTACTTTCATATATGGAAGCCATTCTCGGAAGAAGCAATGCTGCAAATAGTCGTAACTTGTTGCTCCAACTTGGTGCATTAGTAAAAATAGGAATATTGACATAATTTGAACCCAATGCAATTACATGAATCATGTATGTTTTATTGAATATAACCTGATCAAATCAGTGAATAATAATTTCAATCAATTCTAGCCACAGGGCAGACTGTGTAAATAAAGTGGCCAAAAAGCACTGTAAACTCATGACAGTCACATTCCTGACTGTCTCACAAAGTTTGAGTCCACAGCTGTTTTAGTGTTTTTTTTTAAACCCCAAACCTCAGGGTTTTGTTTTTTTGGGGGGGACACATTACTCGTGTTGTGACGAGATCTCACGTGACGCAAGAAGTCCCATGAATTTATGAGAAAAGCACTTTGTGTGCAGCGATGGCTGTTCTATAAATTGAGTTGAGTTGAGAAAAAGATCTTAAAAGTGTCGATTTATGGGTCTATGAATCCATATCGGCTCTGAAAAGAAAAATGGATACAAATCAAACTTGTTTTTTTGTTTTTTTTTTCAACCCAATCCTACTTATTTTTCTGAATGTTATTGGTTTATGTTTGTGATCCATATATACTTACTGTAAAGCTATTTGATCAAGACCCGAGTCAGATTACATAATTTGATCGGCATCCCTTTTTACAACCAGAACACGAGTTTAGAGGAAAAAAAAAACAAAAAACAACAAGACGGAATTTGTATTCATTCGATAGGAACACAAAGTTCACAATGTATCGCAGCTTTGAAGGAGCAATACTGTTCTATGACAGTCAGATATTGTCAGTACTGTAGTCACAACAAAATTAAGGAGTGGGAACTAACAATGGAGCATATGACTTCACATCAAAGGTCTTATTCTTCTTTCAGTGCCTAGCGGGCATACAGTCTTATTGGGTGGGTCACATTGTATATGATGTTTATGTTTGAAATCGGAAAGTTGCTATATTATGGGAGGGGGGGGGTTGTTGTTTTTTCTGCTGAGTTCATCCAAAGTTTCTTCTTTTTTAGCAAGCCTCTGAGCAGCATTTTGGGAGCCTGATTGGTCCAATATCAACACAAGTGTGACGTTGCATCAGATGTGAATTTAACACGGGCTACTTCATGTAGAGTACTTTGTCTCATTTGCTGACTTGTCTCATCAGTGAGTGAGGGAGTGAGAAATGTTTCTCATACGATAGAGGCGGTGAGATTGTCTGAACCACCCTCCCACTCATGCGGTCTCTATGGATGGATGGATGTGACAATAAGTAGCAGAGCTCAGTGTCTCTTCAGGTCGTAACACTCAAGCATCTGGACAGAGATTTGAAAGGACTGTACAAGATCCAAGGCCCCACCGTTGGGCAAATGACGCTGAAACTTGCTTGTCTTTTCACCTCAGCCAGATGAACACACACGCGGTAGACTTTGCAACCAAGGTAAGTGTCTCATTTAAAAAAAAAAAAAAAAAAAATCCTGAACATAAAGGGTAAAACAATTTGCATTTTGCTTTATGTGGTTATTTTGAAGCAACGGGACTTTGCTACAGATACATACACATATATATGATATGTACAAACATATGTTGCTAGAAGGATTATGTCATTTTCTGTACAGAATTAGATGTTAACAAAAAGAGTATGCCAAGGGAAGAAATGAGTAAAACTGGAGACTTTTCTTTTGCATTTAATGTCAAATATTTTCACTTGGTGTTCAAGAGGACAACCTGCACAGTATTGCTTGTTAAATCACAAATTCTTATGTGTCCACTCTTCCCAGTTTAGCTCTTTCTCTCTTTTAATACATTTCTCTCATCTGCGACTTGCTTTGGTGAGTCCTTCAGCCTCACATGTTCATTGTGTGCTACTTAACGAGGTAAATAGAAAACTAGAGCCTGGTGGGTGTCACATGACATTTTTACCCCTCAAAATATAGCACATGGGTATATTGTGATCGTTGATTTGGAAAAAAAGATGAGCGTTAGCAAATGTCAACATTCTAAGTGTTAGTTTCTTATTGTGTAACACAGTTTAAGCATTTTATGATTTTATATTATTGTCACTTGTCCAACATATAAAGTACATCGGTATTTTCTATTGATGGATGGACTCAAGACCTTTGAAGGTGTGTGTGAACCACAGTTACTCATGAGATTCAAATGTTGCTAAATACAGAATACTGTACTTTAATCCTTTCAGGGACAGCAGTTACGACAGTGGACACCTTACCACAGGGGTGGCCAACCACTCAGAGACTAAGAGCCAATTTTGTCACTGTGTTTGGGAGTGCGCGCAGACACACGCACACGCACACGCACACATACACACGAGCTGCAGTGGTTACTTACTACTTGGGTTGTATGTATTAATAACATGCTCGTTTTGTTTTCTGTTTACTGAGAATTGTATTCTGACTTGTTCAATAAAGATTATTAAAAAAAAAACTTACTACTTCGGTTAGCTTGCTACATATTTGACCGAAGATCGACTTTTGAAGGGACGCACCTCCCACCTCACGCGGGCGCCCAACCACCACACGTGCACATACACAAGCACACGCACGCACACCGAGATGAGCGACAGCCGGAACGTCACCGAACATGAACGAAATCGAAACACACAAAGTTCCCCCCATTTCCTCATCCCAACACTCGCGCTCTACTTGGGACCAGTCCGCTGGCTCACGGTCGATCGCCATTGACGCATTGGGCAGCCCTGCCTTAAAATCTGAGGTAATTCGCTGACTAGCTTAGCGCTTAGCGCTGTGCACCGTTGTTTGCGCATGAGCGGTGATTCAGTTGTCAAGTGATTGGTTGCCCTGTATGACAATCAAGTAACGGGATTGATGATAGGCTGACGTAGTAACCTCTGTATATTTCGCGCCGTTGTTTGAATGGCAGCGCCACCACAGAGGCGTTTTCGATGCTTGTTATGTGAAAACCCAGGAGCCGCATTGAACCAGCTCTCGAGCCGCGGGTTGGCCACCGATGTCTTATCATGTAGTCATGTTACCGGGTGCATGAAATGGTTAATTATTTTGTGCTGCTTCAGGCATGAGGGTAGGTCCTCCTGTTTGAAATACGTTCGTATTTTTGTTTGGTAACTTTCCACCTCACTAACCTGCCCTTATCTGGCAACAGCACATATTGTATAACAGCATGGCAATATGGCCATAAATAAGATATCCTCTGCATTAGGGTTGTGTGACATGGCTAAAATTTACGATCTCAATGTTTTTACCCAGTATCTCGATAATGATATGCTAAAGGTATTACGCTGTTAAAAAAAAAAAAAAAAAACATCATTCAAAAAGGTTGTGAAAAGTGCAGGGTTTTTTTAGAACTTAATGACAGCCATCAACATTAACAAAGTCAGTGATAAATTAAAAACAATTACATTTATATTGTACTGCAACTCTGATGTAAAGATTGCTAACAATGGTATGTTTATGCTACCACAGAAGTGGCTTGTTTGCGTGCGCGTGTTAACTGCATCAATGTGTGTGTTATGTATCAATTTGTCCATATACGACCGTAGTAAGGCTAGGTGGTTCATAACATGGATGGATGTGTTGTGTGGTTTAAAAAAAACACACACACGACGATGGTTGCGTGTGCATTGATGCATTACATGGCGAAATGAAGTATGTTACATTGTATGACTTTTTATTCATCCACAAGAAGATGGTGGCAGTCAACAACGTTGACAACGTTGCAGCCCGTGTCCAAATGGACGGACCGACGAGGCGCGAGCTGCTCGTACATTTTTACAACGAGCTCTGCTATTTTGTCCACGAGTAATTTTAATTTATAAATATGGTCATGTAATGTTCTAAAACACAAAATATGTGTATCGTCTCTATATACTTGACAGCGAACACGGAGTGGATTTTGCTTGGTTGTAATTTGCGATGTCGTCACGTCGTGCCCCCGCGATTCAAATTTTGCCGCTAACCCAACCCACACACACTGCTGGAGTGTGACGTGGAGTTTTGGCGCATTGCTGAGAATGCCTGTGCTCATCTGCTGTGGTTGTTTATCCTGCTCTTGGGATTTTTCAGTTTTCTCTTTCAACTTCTATTTTGATGTTGCCCTTGACTTGGACTGGCACATTACCAACCACAATGTGAACTTAATTAGCCAAGAGATGTTTGGAATTGTAACTGAAATTCCAACAGGACTGCGGCTTTGTTGTTTGCTGTATGTTTTCTTCTGTGGTTTGTAGTTTATGTCACTTTCTCATGCATGCTTGACACTGAACCTGCTGGATCCGATTTAAATTTATGCCTCACATAAAGCCTGCATCTGCAACCCTGCTTCTATGTGTCGGATCATCTCAGGCACCTCTTTGTAGAATCTCCCTCGACTGCTTGTTTCGGTACCTCTGCTTAGGATCATCACCTGCTGTTCCAGACCTTGTATATCCATTGGTAGAGGATCTGTCGTTATTAATAGGTGTGATTATACTGTATGTCTGAGGAATCAGGCTCAGTAGTTTTCTATTGGAGATAATGGCTTCCTTAAATGAGACTTGTCATTAGCAAAAACAAGATACTTGCAAAATCTCAATGTCATTACGACAATTTGACATTTCGGTACAGATTTTAGCAAGTTGACACATGATTTGCTTTCGCAGGCCACATAAAATGATCTGCCGGTCCAGATCTGGCCCCCGGGCCTTGAATTTGACACCTGTGTTCTAGGCTTTCGTTGTTCTCTATATCATTTTCTAGTCCTGTTCGTATACTTCTTTGTTTTCTATTGTTAGCTTTGTTATTGTTATCCGAAGTCCGTTTGTTTTAGTCATTGATTGTCTTTTCCTTGTCATTTTTAGACGTGTTTTTTTTCTCTTTTTTTTTTTTGCGAGCTCTTTTTGTTAGTAGCATTATCTAGCACTGGGTTGTTCCAGCGATTTGTGTTGCACTTAGTCGGACTCGCGACCTGATTTGTGAGAATAGATTAGATCCGCTCCTTGTCTGCATTTTTGGGATTGACTCCTGTTCCGGATTGGTCCGGAACCTTAGCATGCTAACTCTTCTGTGCAGACTTCTGACTGATTTCTTGGGTGCAACCACCAAAGATGCATGACTCATTGATTTCTGAGGCTGTTCCTGATTCCTGGATTGTGGAGTTTTCATGAGACATGAATTCCATAAAAATCCATTTGTAAAATATGTCACACTTTAATTGTTAAATGAAATTTAGTGGATCCAGAAATTATAGTAATCATCGTGAAGGAGCCATTGATTTTATATTCTTTATTAAATAATTGTAAAAATGAATAAATAGAATCAGAATACTGTCACAAATTGAACGCATGTTTGGAACCAGGGCAAAGTGAGTGAGTGTTGAAGGCAGCCATACGAGGCCACACGCGACCAAATACATGAATTTGAATAATAACAGAGGGCGGCCCGGTGCTCAAGTGGTAAGCGTGCCGACCTCACAGTGCAGAGGTGCAGGGTTAGATTCCAGCTCCGGCCTCCCTGTGTGGAGTTTGCATGTTCTCCCCGTGCCTGCGTGGGTTTTCTCAGGGTACTCCGTTTTTCTCCCACATTCCCAAAATATGCATGGCTGTTTAATGGAACACTCCAATTTGTCCCTAGGTGTGATTGTGAGCGCGACTGGTTGTGCGTCTATATGTGCCCTGCAATTGGCTGGTAACCGGTTCAGGGTGTACCTCTCGCTACTGCCCAAAGTCATGCTCCGGCATGCCCGCGACCCTTGTGAGGAAAAGCAGATTAGAAAATGGATGAATGGGTAATAGTAATAATAATAATAATAATAATAATAATAATAATAATAATATGAAAGTTCACTTTTAGACATCCGTCCCCGAAATGGGAGGGGCACAGTCACCTCAATGAGTGGGCATAGCACCCATGGTGAGGGGTGTGAGAACAGATAGGTTTGAGGACTTTAAGTACTTAAGGCTCCATTGATGTCATCAGGTGCACTTGCGCTCGGTGTAAAAACTGGCGCATCTTAATTTTCATGCAGGGAGAAGTCCAATTTACCATGTTTGGAAATTTGGCTGACGGCATTGCGCCATGCTGGACAGTCCGGCAGGCCGATTGCATGTTATGTATCATGTCCCTGAAGCAGCTGACAATTTGGTGACAGAAAATAGATTTCACCTGAGACCAGGCATGTCCAGCTCCAGGCCTGCAGGGTCGCTGTCCTGCCTGTTTTCCAGCTCTCCCGGCTGCAACACACTTGATTCAAATGATCAACTCATCAGCCAGCTCTGAAGCAGCATTAGAACGAACCTGATTATTCGAATCAGGTATGTTGCTCCTGGGAGTGCTGGAAAACAAGCAGGACAGCGGCCCTTAAGGACCGACTTTGGACACCCCTACCTTAGATCCACTAAAAGCAAGTCTGAGTTGTGGCTAGAGGAGAAGAGGGGAAAATGACATAATTTTACCATATTTTAATCATGTGCAACCAGTGTACTTGGTTTTCATTGTGGCATAATGTTGCAAATGGAGATGTTGACATGACTAAGAGACAATTGGCAAAAGCGTTGTTTTATTGCAAATGATAGACAACACATGAAAAAACAATGAGAAAATCCAATAAGTGGTTTCATGTCTCCTTTATTCTCTCTAGAGTTGGGAATGGTAAATCCTGGAGTTAACCAGAAGTGGTTTCTCAGCCCAGCCATCAACCTCCCTTCGTCCGCACCAATGCATATGCCACATGTTAAATCTGTTATGATCTATTATTAACATTTGGTAATAAGTGGAACCATATGTGTGTGAGGCATGATTATAGAAACTGGTTTCAGTTCACCACCTCATTGTGAAATTTCTTTGTCTCCAAAATTTGTACACACATGGGTTGAAGTCAAGCTTTGGTATATTTGCTGTACCCTTTTACCTTCTCCGTTTTTTTTTTTTTCTGTCACATATTTTTCACGTATGCAGCATCAGGGAGGCTCCTGAACAATCGCGAATGTCTTAATGAGGTGAAGAAATGAATCCAAGCAAGTTGGAATGAGTGACGGAAAATGTGTTATGTGCAGAGCTTGACATGAATTTTTTGCTCATCAGCCGCTGTGGTGAGTAGTTTCGGAGAGTTACTAACCACTAACAATGTTCACTCGCCACAATTTTGTTGTTGGAAAATTATACTGTGTTTAAGATAATTCAAGCTGGCGGCACTGGTTAGCACATCTGCCTCACAGTTCTGAGGCCTTGAGTTCAAATCAGGGCTCCGGCCAACCTCTGGAGTTTACATGATCTCTCCGTGGCTGCGTGGCTTTTCTCTGGGTACTCAACATTCCAAAACCATGCAGGGCATGTAAAGACAAAGGTGTGTATGGTTGTTTGTTTAAACATGCTCTGCGACTGGCTGGAGACCAGTTCGGGGTTTATTAATGAAATATAACTTGTGATCAAATGTCAGACGGTCAACACCATTTTGCAGTGGCTCATTCATTCAAATCAGATCTACGAAGCACAATGACACAAAAGTCTTGTAATGCTTCATATTTCTAAATGTTGCGTTTGACTTCGGCCTGCCTGCATGAGTGTGTTGGTATTTGTGTGCATTTTATTTCATCCAACCATGACTGTGGATGATATGATCAACAACGGTAAATTGGCTATCACTTGTACAGTGGTTTTCTACCTCACGTACTCAAAGCACTTCACATTGTTATCTCGTTTACCTACTGATGCAACTGGGGATTCTTGTTCAAGGACACTTCGACATTTGGGTTGGGAAACGGCCACTCTACCACATGTTGTGTCATTGGGCTGTGCCCAGCCTAGCCCCTTGGTGTCGCCCTGGCCACCAAGTTTTTGCCATCAAACCGCACCTCAAGACCAGCCTCGAGAGAAATATGAAAATTACTTCAAAATGTTTTTCTCCATCGTGAGTCTTTGAGTCATATTTTGTCCGGTAAATCATCTACGACCTACCTACTAAGTGACCCTACCAAGGACATCAGCCCCCAACAACTGTGGATACACACAAGCCTCTCCACTATGGTAAAGTGGCAGCACAAGGAGGCGGCTTTGCTAAATCAGAAATAATTAACATGATCAGTGTCTTGACATAGACGTCATAAGACAGATCTAAAAAACCTCTGAGTTGTGAGGTTTCAGCCGAGTGTGCAAATGCTCGATGTCAGCCCACACATGCATGTGTGATCTTACGGACACCAAGATGCCACCATATGGCCCTGGTTCCAGTCACCGTCCAGCAGAGAAATGTAGGCAAAAAAACAAAATAAAATTTCAGGTTGACAGAGCCCAAAAGAGAATGTGGCAAAAGACCGATGGCTGTGGTCACCTTGTGCAACACCCCGACTACGTTAACTGCTCTGTGCTTAAGTAGCCGCCTGCTCCAAAGTGTGTGTTTGCTGTGTCCGCAACTATGAAGAGGTCAAATGAAGAGGTCAAATTTCCTGTATGAGGGTGTAAATGCAAGCAAATGTGATTCTTAAATATGAATAGTAACATACTGAACAATTGAAGCTAATGAGGACAAATTTGTCACAGAAGTGTGTATCAAGTTGCCCTTTACATGAAACAAATCCCCCAAATTAGCTATGATGTGTAAATAAGTTGGCGATCCCTGTTTTTTATAGTAGCTATGATGTGTAAATAAGTTGGCGATCCCTGTTCTTTGTTTTTTATACTGTCTGACAGTCCAATATTAAACCTGCCTTTTTGACCAGCTTGTTCAGTCTTCGGTTTCTCTGGAAGCCTGCCTTGTGCAATCATAATCGTGCGACAACAATAACAATGTACGCAGTTATATTTTGAGAGACTGCTTGTATTTTACTCATCGTTTGTCCTTTACTCCTTTAGGCTTGGCATCTATGCTTCTTTCCCATCCTGTGCTTTCACCTCATAATGGGTGGTGTTCCTGGTCCATGCCGACACTCGGTAACACAGGAGCACCTTAGGATCCTCAATCGCCTGGTGAGAATTATCCCATACTGTAATATGAAAGACTTTCATTAGGCCAATCCGAGACAAGAAGAAGAACAATGGAAAGACATCTTAAAATAGTATTACATACAGTACTTGGTACATTGTAAAATACAAAACTGTTTTGTTCATCAGTGCTGACAAAGTAGGGCATGTACCTTTGTTGTCAGTGATGAGCTGGAAACTATTATCAGGTTGCTTTACTGACAGTTCTTTCAAGACAAAGCAGAATTTATTTATTCATATACAGAGATGGGCATTTCGTCAGTACTGAAGATCTCGTCAGTGCGTCACGTCGGACGCCCATTTTTCTGACGAATAGCGACAAATTTAAAAAGAAAATGGCAAACTAAACACTGACGGAAGTGGATTTTTGTCCATCAGTGTAATCATCACTCAACGATTCAAATAGAGACGGAGCCCTGTCTGTCACTGACGGACGCCCATTTTCTGACAACTGACGGAAACACGCCCCCGCCTGTCCTGTGTGTGTTTGTTCGCAAATTGTTCATAGTCATAATCAATGTGCAGGTCACAAATTTCCCACAACGGCGTTTTGGGTTGTTTTTGGCGAGCTTGTATAAGGCAATTGCTTGAAATAATGACAGATGACAGACAGGTGTCCAGGCTGCTGAAGAATGACTGACCGGCAACATTTTGTAAATTGCCACCTCTGTTCATATAAACCTGCCTCAAATGCAGTGGAAAAAAAATGCATCGATTAAGTGATAATGAGGTTTGTGAAATGATTTGCAGATTGAGTTTGTAGAAGAACACTAACATCCATTTTTCCCTTTACAGATTGACAATCAGTTGGACCATGGGTGTTTTATAATTTATCAGTTTACTGAACGTTTGAATTTGGTAAGTGGACATTATCCATTAAACTTTCCTGAGTTCTGAGCAGAAATTGCATTAATTTCCATACCAAATCAGGTGACGTGTTATGAGACAAAATCTTTGTAAAGTACCACCGTGTGGCCAATTTGCATTAAATGTTCACACACTTCAAAAGTATGTGCACTCTGGTGGCAACAGATGCAAAATTGGTGGAGACCACTGTATTTAAAAGAGGGTTTTCCACCTTTGTTAGCTTTAGTGATGTGCACCATAAGAAATTTGTGACATCACTGCAAGTATAAAATGAAGTATGAAGTGACAGAATTGGAAGTGCTAGTGGAAGTTAAACAAAAGTTATTGCCCTGATAATTAGTGGCTAGGCAGCAACGGCAAAAAAAAGAAAAAAAAACTTTCTTTAATTTACCTTGCCTTTAGTGCCTGCGATTGCATAGCATTGCGTATAACAAGTCGGGCCGCACACCCGATAAACAGTTCTGGGGGAAGCCAGCACCAACTGTCACAATGCGGTGAAATGACCCAGAAACAGTGAAATACAGTGTTGAGAATGGTTTTGTCATAAGTGGTATCACATGCCTCCCTCTTATGACTGGCTCCGATTCAGTCCTAATATTATCCAGAAGCTCCAAACCTGCTTTGGTGAATAGACAGTACATCTGATTTGTTTTCATCATTTTCTTAACCTCACAACAAAGACCCTGCTCAAAGTGCTACATTTCTGTGTGAATGACCTCACTCCGACTGCACAGTTTGTTGAGCGAGGCAATATACTGTATTTTAATTTTTTTTTTTTGCGTCACGCGAGACATGTTGAAAATCTAACTGAATTCAGTGAGTTGTGATCAAGCAAATTCATCCACATCAATACTTTGACTTCAATATGATGTGATAGTCTATCTAATGTTGTTAAATGGATCAAGCAAATTCATCCACATCAATACTTTGACTTAAATATGATGTGATAGTCTATCTAATGTTAAATTATAAGTCACCAGATTCTGCCTCTGCTTAGGTCAAAACAACAAGATGACATACTGTATTTTTCGGACTATAAATCGTTCCAGCCATAAAATGCATAATAAAGAAGGGGGAAAAAACATATAAGTCGCACTGGAGTATAAGTGGCATTTTGAGGGGAAATTTATTGGATAAAATCCAACACTAAGAACAGACATGTCTTCTTGAAAGGCAAAGAAAAATAAAAATAGAGAACAACAGGCTGAATAAGTGTACAATATGCTAACATTACATGACGCATAAACAGAGAACGGAGAACGTGCCTGGTATGTTCACGTAACATTATGAGTTATGTAGTTTGGATTTCTATGTAGCATAAAGAACATGCTAACAAGTTTACCAAACCATCAGTGTCACTCCAAATCACTAAATCCAATGAAATCTTCACCCTTGGTGTCACTTTTAAACAACTCCGCCAGCTCAGGAGGTAGAATATGCAGCGCTTAATTATCCCGCTCCAAGTGGAAAACTGAAAAACTTTGGTTTCAAAGGCAGATTGTACTGTGCAGAGCATTAAACGGTTCTTGGTTTTACTGAACACGGTCCCATCCCTACAACATTAACATGTAAATGGTGGCAACCAAAAATGCTATTTCACAATTAATTAAAGATGAACAAAACAGTAATTGCTCTTAAAAAAAGCAATTTCAAAACTCGTAGGACATATTGCAGTGGGGTTAACAACAAAATGTCTGATAAAATTTGTGTATGTAGCAACAATGAGATCCCAGAGTTTGCATGGTCTCCTGTTAAATTTTCCATAATATTAGCAGCCTGACATTAAAAACCGGTGAAACCATCAGCATTCCTTTTGCACAAATATTTGGAACATAGCAATTTATAGCTAAAGAAAATAAATGACGACAACTAGGTGATTGCATAGTGCGCTGTAGGTAGGCAGAGGGGACTGTTTGCTTCACCTCAAACTTTTTATCTGTGGTTTTATGCAATCAGCAAAAGAAAAAATGAAATGCACAAGCATCTTGATGGGTGGGCTTGGCCCGCCTATGGATCGCTCCTGCACCTGAAAAAAAACAATTTTGCCGATGCATCATGGACATTATTGGATTCAGATATACAATCAGTGCAAAGCACAGAGCATGTAACTAAATTTATTATTCTTATTGGAGAGTCTCACCTGATCACACATCACTGTAGAACGTATGACTAAGCTCCAAAACTAAACAAAAATACTGTAGTGGCAGATAAATTGCAATGACGAGTTGATTTTTCTGTTTCATTGTATTGGTCTTCAGTTCAGATATCCTGCCAAAATGTTTTCCAAGTGCCTTGATCTTTTTTTGTGGTGCTTATTTGTTCATCGTGTGTTACAGAGTAAAGTTTGTTATGTCAAAGCAGCCCTTCCACAAGTACTTGAGCTTCTAAGAACACAATTCCGTTACGGCAGAAATTCAGACAACAGAAGATATGTCAACACCCTGGAAAAAGCAATCTACCATCTTTACTCCCAAGGATGTATCTCGGAAATAAATGAAGAGCTTGAGGTAAGAATTTCATACAAGCAGATTTTTAATTCCAGTGACGAATTTTTTTTTTTTTTTAAAAACTGAAAAAAACCCCGGACGTACACAAACTTAGATATTTACTTGGCACGAATTATCTGCAATTTTAACAAATTGGCCCAGATGTTATTCAATCACAATGTCTGCACTTGTAATCCAAATAGCTTGCAGATATGTCATAAATGGTGGAAATATGTTGTAACAATGGTGGCCCAGTTCGCGCGTCGACCTCACAATGCAGAGATCGTGGGTTCGATCTCAGCTCTGGCCTCCCTATGTGGAGTTTGCGTGTTCTCCCAGTGCCTGCGTGGGTTTTCTCCGGGTACTCCGGTTTCCTCCCAAAAACATGCATGGCAAGGCTGGATGAACCCTCTCAATCATAGGTGCCCAACCAGTCGACCGTGGTCGAATCCCAAAGCGACCGTGAGGTGTGTTGGAAAAAAAAAACAAAAAAAAAAATTGTTTTTTTTTGACATGACAGGAAGTCGGTGTTGCTAAACTTAGCGACTTTGACGCTATATTTAGTGAGTATTCAGATCCTCTCGAGCGACTCTTTTTCAAAAAAGTGACTCGTAACAATCTAGCGACTTTTTCTGGTGTTATTGGAGCCTTTTGGAGTCTGTGTGGTGAAAGCATGTTGTTCTCAATGAGCAGCGCCGGGAGGTCTTGTGGCCCCTCCCCCAAATGAAGCCGCTGCTGGCTCACACACTGATGACATCATTGAGCGACGTTTAGGACAGCCATTAACTACTTTCCTTATCGATGAGTTGGAAACGCTGCTGGAAGTTGACCGCTGTTAACCATAGCGAGCAGCGAGCGATGACAGCGGTTTTCACCCCGAAACCTCAACATGGCTGAGAGCAGGGGTGGCCAACCCGCGGCTCTTTGGCTGGTTCAGTGCGGCTCCCGGGCTTTCACACGACAATTGTCGAAAAAGCCTCGGCGATGGCGCTGCCATTTAAACGACGGTGCTTAATGCAGAACGTACCACGTCAGCCTATCATCAATCCCCGTGCCGCGAGAGGGGTGGGGGAAAAGGAGGCGGGGGGGGGGGATTTGTGTGTTTGTGTCTTTAGCTTTTGTTCATGTTTTGCCCGTTCTGGCTGTTGCTCATCGTGGCGTGCGTGCATTTGTGCGCGAGTGCATGGTTGGGCACCCGCGTGCTTGCAAGCGTGTGTGTGTGCGTGTCTGTATGTGTGGGGGTGATTTGTGTGTGTGTGTGTGCGTGCGCGCGCGCGCGTGTTCCCTCACATCCAAGCAGAACTACAACGTCAAGGGAAAGGTGTGGAACAGCTTGACAGTGCACGTTATGAGGAGCATGTTCAGAGCATCTCGTCAGAGTTTGAGAGGCGTATTACTGACTTTGCATCCATCAAGCCTATAGTCAGCGATATGTGTTATCCATTTGGTGCAAATATTGACGTTGGTGACATTGCCGCCAAAGTCAAATCACTTTTCGACTTTGAAAGCCCCAGTCTTAGAGTCTCAATTGTCCCTAGGTGTGAGTGTGCGCTGCGATTGGCTGGCAACCGGTTCAGGGTGTCCCCCGCCTGCTGCCCGAAGCAGCTGGGACAGGCTCCAGCACGCCCCGCGACCCTTGTGAGGATAAAGCGGTTCAGAAAATGGACGGATGGAAGTTGTAACAATATACCACTGACACGCCTTGCCCTCCAAGGAGGTTCAAATACAGGTCATTCAAATAAAAGCAATATGACCCTGAAGAAAACGCATTAATGAGTCAGTGCACAATTACTGTACATCAGCGGTGCCCAAACTTTTTGGACCGAAGATCGATTTTTTGATCAACCAACCTCCCGCGATCGACCCGTTATCGCGTGCGCGCACGTACATACACATGCATGCCATGATGAGCAATAGCCTGACACGGAGGCATCCGACGCACTTTTGCTATCGTAGCTCACGCGTACCGTTTGAAAATGCTTCCCTGTGCCCTCCAGATTCCTATTCTTTGCCTGTGCCCTCGGTGAATTGTACACAAAACAAACTCTGAATGAGAATAATGATAACGATAAAAGATATAGGGCAACAGCTCTGATCACAAGCTGAAATTGCAGACTGCTGAGCGCTAACAACTTCCGGTGACGCAGGTCACGTGCCACCGTAGGTTAAAGATTTACCTGCTTTATTTGATTTTATTTTTTTAATACTTTTTGTGAAAATGAGACTGATAGGATGATTAGGGTGCAGTGTACATGAACACAAAATATTTATATATGACTAACATGCACAAAGACACACAAATGGTTGTTGGGTTTTTTTCTCCTCTACACCCCTCGCGATCGACTTGGGATCAGTCCGCGATCTACCGGTCGATTGCGATTGACGTAATGGGCACCCCTGCTGTACATACATGATTTAGTGATTTATTGCCTAGCATTTTAAAGTTTTGATTTTACTAAGCTACAGGCAAGCCTTTCCCAAATTGTATATGAATAAATATGAATTGATAGGTGTATCATAAAGAAATAATGACGATTAGATTTTCTGCACTATAAGGCGCTTTGGATTATAAGGCACATCTTCAATGAATGGCCTATTTTAAGAATGTTTTCATATATAGGGCGCATTGTATTATAAGGCGCATAGAATAGAAGCTACAGTCGTGCCTGAGGTTGGACTATATATCCACAAATGGAACTACGTTGAAGGGAATACAATACAATACAGCTTTATTTATTGAGAGCCTTCACCACCACTGCAATGTAACAAAGCGCTTTACAGAACTTTTAAAATACCATATCCAAGAAATCAGAATATTGATCCATATGTAGCTCCCTCAGGATGTAGCATGAAGCACGACAATAAGTCCATAAAAATACAGCGTTTATTCCTCGGAAAGCCGTGAGAACTGGTCCTGAACACGGACATGAAACATAAATACAAATGGCATTACAAAACAATAAATGAAAGACAAACATTATGAAGACAATTCAACAAAAAGGCCAACGAACCTCGTGGGGCTAAATATCCTTGCAAGCCTTGCTTTTCTCCTTCTTCCTTCATTTAGTCAGTAGTTAACTCAGCTTTTGGTTTTATCTTCATTTCAGAATGGCTGCGCAGAGCTCACAAAGTAGTTGTCTGTTTGAGTATGTGTTGCGAATGCAATTAGTGTCGGGCAGAACCCTTTTACTTTACAATTGGTGCCTGCTAATAATCACCACTAGATGACATAGAAACACTAACAGGGAAACAACTCAATGGTGACTATAAAAACATTGTAAGTACCGTATATAAGGCACATCGGATAATAAGGGTGCAGAGTCGGGAATTTTGGGAAAATGTAATGCTTTTAGGTGCGCCTTATAGTGCGGAAAATGCGTTAAGTTGAACTCGATTGACGGAATACTATCTTCCCCAAATAAGAAAGTCTTTCATAAGACAACCAAACCTCTTGACACAGCAACCAAGCACTCTCCCATCATTTTACTGAGCGATAGGAGTGGGAGAAAAAGCAAACCTCAGCCTACGTTGTGTTGTCCCTCTGGGTCATTCCATGGTTGATTACATGGTCCATAATTGTAGCTCGCACTCTTTTGCCTCCCTCCTTTGTACTCCACACTGACAGCTTACCTAAGGCTTATTCATAGTTTTCAAGCTGATTTCAAAATGAACTCATTATCTACAGCAGTGTTCTCCTTTGACCAAGTGGCTGGACAGTTGGCAGAATAGTGTAAATAATAGCCAAAAACGTGTTGAGGTTTGCAAGGAGTGTGCGGATCATTTGGAATTTGAGTGTCAAGCAATGAGTTGTGTTTCCAGTTCTGCAAAAAAGAAAAAAAGAGTGCTGTGTTGCAAACAAAAGCAATCCGATATTGATACTGACTTTGGATCTCACACCTTCAAAGTAGCCTGTGGATGAGATGAAGGTGAGTCGCACAAGTCACTGGCAATAATTTTCGGACCCACAGCACAAGTGACTGTAATCTTAGCACGTTGAAAGTGCGCGAAAAAGGCGCGTAAAGAAATTGATTTCACCACGAATGGAAGGAAAATGCAACTTATTTCTTGACGGCCGAAGATATAATGGCTATTTGTATACTTATGTTTCATATTTTCGATGATGTCATCTTTTTTAAAATCTTTTTACCTGCCTGAACATCAACCTGATTTCACCCCTGCTCTCTCTCGGTGCGATTTGGGGAAATGCAATAACTCCTTCAAATAATTTTGTGCTCCTTATAAAAGGGGACTATAATTGCTTAAATTTGAATTAATTCACACATATTTTGTAGAACTTGGCATCATGTTGAGCAGGTTTTCATATCTGTTTGAAAATTGTTTGTATTGTGTGTGCGTGTTTTTAGGAAAGTCCATCCAGGTTAACAAAGGAGGCAGAAAGCTCACCAAAGGCTGCAGCTGTAACAAAGCGCTTTACAGAACTTTTAAAATACCATATCCAAGAAATCAGAATATTGATCCATATGTAGCTCCCTCAGGATGTAGCATGAAGTATGACACAAAGTCCATAAAAATACAGGGTTTATTCCTCGGAAAGCCGTGAGAACTGGTCCTGAACACGGACATGAAACATAAATACAAATGGCATTACAAAACAATAAATGAAAGACAAACATTATGAAGACAATTCAACAAAAAGGCCAACGAACCTCGTGGGGCTAAATATCCTTGCAAGCCTTGCTTTTCTCCTTCTTCCTTCATTTAGTCAGTAGTTAACTCAGCTTTTGGTTTTATCTTCATTTCAGAATGGCTGCGCAGAGCTCACAAAGTAGTTGTCTGTTTGAGTATGTGTTGCGAATGCAATTAGTGTCGGGCAGAACCCTTTTACTTTACAATTGGTTCCTGCTAATAATCACCACTAGATGACATAGAAACACTAACAGGGAAACAACTCAATGGTGACTATAAAAACATTGTAAGTACCGTATATAAGGCACATCGGATAATAAGGGTGCAGAGTCGGGAATTTTGGGAAAATGTAATGCTTTTAGGTGCGCCTTATAGTGCGGAAAATGCGTTAAGTTGAACTCGATTGACGGAATACTATCTTCCCCAAATAAGAAAGTCTTTCATAAGACAACCAAACCTCTTGACACAGCAACCAAGCACTCTCCCATCATTTTACTGAGCGATAGGAGTGGGAGAAAAAGCAAACCTCAGCCTACGTTGTGTTGTCCCTCTGGGTCATTCCATGGTTGATTACATGGTCCATAATTGTAGCTCGCACTCTTTTGCCTCCCTCCTTTGTACTCCACACTGACAGCTTACCTAAGGCTTATTCATAGTTTTCAAGCTGATTTCAAAATGAACTCATTATCTACAGCAGTGTTCTCCTTTGACCAAGTGGCTGGACAGTTGGCAGAATAGTGTAAATAATAGCCAAAAACGTGTTGAGGTTTGCAAGGAGTGTGCGGATCATTTGGAATTTGAGTGTCAAGCAATGAGTTGTATTTCCAGTTCTGCAAAAAAGAAAAAAAGAGTGCTGTGTTGCAAACAAAAGCAATCCGATATTGATACTGACTTTGGATCTCACACCTTCAAAGTAGCCTGTGGATGAGATGAAGGTGAGTCGCACAAGTCACTGGCAATAATTTTCGGACCCACAGCACAAGTGACTGTAATCTTAGCACGTTGAAAGTGCGCGAAAAAGGCGCGTAAAGAAATTGATTTCACCACGAATGGAAGGAAAATGCAACTTATTTCTTGACGGCCGAAGATATAATGGCTATTTGTATACTTATGTTTCATATTTTCGATGATGTCATCTTTTTTAAAATCTTTTTACCTGCCTGAACATCAACCTGATTTCACCCCTGCTCTCTCTCGGTGCGATTTGGGGAAATGCAATAACTCCTTCAAATAATTTTGTACTCCTTATAAAAGGGAACTATAATTGCTTAAATTTGAATTAATTCACACATATTTTGTAGAACTTGGCATCATGTTGAGCAGGTTTTCATATCTGTTTGAAAATTGTTTGTATTGTGTGTGCGTGTTTTTAGGAAAGTCCATCCAGGTTAACAAAGGAGGCAGAAAGCTCACCAAAGGAAGCTCTGAAAAAAGCTCGACAAGTGATCCAGATGTATATGAGACTGATGACATTCAGCACTCATCCTGTGGACTGGAATTGTCAATCTGAATATTCTGTCGGAGATCATTTAAATCGCACTCAAATTGCATTTACCAGCACCACAGGTAAAGATTGAAACATTGTGACAGGTAATACAAATGTAGTACAGCGGTACGTCTAAGTTTGCCCATGAACTGTTCAATGCTGTTGGTCGAATTCCTATTTAGTCAACTTTCAAGATAAAATGTACTATTAGGATCAATTTTATTCTGAATAAAGAATGTGCCCAATCTATGACCATAATTTAACCTTTATTGACGTCACAGATGGTGGACCGTGGTTAGCGCGTCTGCCTCACAGTGCAGAGATCGTGGGTTCGATTGTGGCTCCAACCTTCCTCTGTGAAGTTTGCATGTTCTCCCTTTGCCCGTGTGGGTTTTCTCAGGGTACTCCGGTTACCTCTCACATTCCAAAAAACATGCATGGCAGGCTGGTTGAACACTCTAAATTGTCCCTCGGTGTGAGTATGTGTGTGAATGGTTGTTCATCTATATGTGCCCTGCGATTGACTGGCAACCAATTCAGGGTGTCCCCCGGCTACTGCCTAAGGACAGTTGGGATAGGCTCCAGCACACCCCGCTGGTGATCCGCTTATGAGGATAAGCGGATCAGAAAATGGATGGATATCTTCACAGGCAATGTTTCATATAACATTGAGATTAATCTCATCCATCCATCCATCCATTTTCCGATCCGCTATTTCCTCACAAGGGTCGCGGGGGCATGCTGGAGCCTATCCCAGCTGTCTTTGGGCAGTAGGCGGGGGACACCCTGAACTGGTTGCCAGCCAATCGCAGGGCACACAGAGACAAACAACCATCCATGCTCACATTTCACACCAAGTGACAATTTAGAGTGTTCAATCAGCCTGCCATGCATGTTTTTTGGAATGTGGGAGGTAAGCGGAGTACCCTGAAAAAACCCACACGGGCACAAGGAGAACATGCAAACTTCACACAGGAAGGCTGGAGCCACAATCGAACCCACGATCTCTGCACTGTGAGGCCGACGCGCTAAACAGTTGACTATCGGGCCACCATTGAGACTAATATTCACATTATTCATTCTCTTGCATAAGTAAAATCAAATTTGACTGTCTGTAATTCATTCATTTAAACACTCTCAAAAATGTAATTATGAATCAGTAGGGGTTCACTTTACACACGACAATGACAGTGACATGAATGTGGCAGATCGGCAAGTGAGCAAGCTAGAATCTACATGATACCTCCGACTTCGCAGTAACTTCCAGTGGGGATATCTTTTCTCACCTCTCTCATCCATTCAGAACATGTCCAACAAAAAGGGCAAAAATACTTATAATTAATCATTTGATGATTTTCAAACTACTGAACACAAAAATCGAAAATGACTTTGACGTGTGCAAACTTTGAGGTACCACTGTGTAATTAAACTGCTACATAATCAAGTGGTGTTCATTATTTTGTCATTCATTTTTCTGTGGTTTCAAAATATAAGGAATGTTCCGGTCACGGTTTTAAGGTGTCAAGACAGATACCGATAAGATGGATTCGGTGTAAAAATATCAATTTTAGAACTACTGACTTTTCTTCCATCCATCCATTTTCCGCCGCTTATCCGGGGTCGGGTCTCGGGGGCCAGCAGCTTTAGCAGAGAAGCCCAGACTTCCCCCTCCCCAGCCACTTCTTCCAGCTCTTCCCGGAGAATCCCGAGGCGTTCCCATGCCAGCTGGGAGGCATAGTCTCTCCAGCATGTCCTGGGTCGTCCCCAGGGCCTCCTGCCGGTAGGACATGCCCGGAACGCCTCACCAGGGAGGCGTCCAGGAGGCATCCTAATCAGATGCCCGAGCCACCTTATCTGGCTCCTCTCTACGCGGAGGAGAAGCGGCTCGACTCTGAGCCCCTCCCAGATGACCAAGCTTCTCACCTTATCTCTAATGGAGACCCCCGGACACCCTGCGGAGAAAACTCATTTCGGCCGCTTGTATCCGGGATCACGTTCTTTCTGTCATGACCCATAACTCGTGACCATAGATGAGGGTTGGGATGTAGATCGACTGGTAAATTGAGAGATTTGCCCTTTGGCTTAGCTCCTGCTTCACCACGACAGACCGATACAAAGTCCGCATCACAGCAGACGCTGCACCGATCCGCCTGTCGATTTCTCGCTCCCTCGCTGACTTCTTTAATAATAATAATCATAATAATATTTTTTCAAAAGGAGGGCACTGCATCAAATTAACAGTGCAGAAAATGCACAAACAAATGACGATTCAATTTTTGGTCTGTAACATGTCATAAAATCTGGAAGAAAGTGGATCATTATTGTCCCGATAGCAAAAGCAGCTTTTTGCAAATGTCCTATTGAGATTAAACACCAAGATAATCACTAATCACGTTTACATTGAACCTTGTATTCCATTTCGAATGCAACCAAATTCCCAAATGAAATGAACATACTTCATGTCACACATCACAGGGCAAATCAGTACTGTATGTGATTTTATTTGGGTACAAAGGGGTGGCATATTTTTTTGTTATCAATCCTTCTGGAGTAGGAGTATGAAATTATGATTTTAATTATTAATTTCATTCATAATAACTGCAATAAAAAAGTAACATGTAGGAATATTTATAATTTAACATGTTTTGACTGTAGTTTCTCTGTCTGAACACTGGGTGGCACCCACGTGAACTTGAAGAAGTAGAACTTGGACGTGACGTCACTTAATGCAGGGGTCCCCAACCTTTTTTGCCCCACGGACCGGTTTATGTCAGACAATATTTTCAGGGACCGGCATTTAAGGTGTGGCGGAAATAATACAACAAAATAATATGGTATGAACTGCATGAAAACTGTGGTGTTTTCGAAATATAATAATAAACACAAGGAGCGTCTAATCTGGCCGCAACACTCTGATCGCTATGGTAATGTTTAATGCCTTCAAAATACGATACAACGCAAATTCAAAGTGCATGAAAATGATGACTCACCACAGCCCCGAGCTTGATTTTCTGCAACCAGACGGTCCCATCTCGGGGTAATAGGAGACAATGACACCTCAAGTGTGTGTTTTACGTCAAGTCTACTTCGTAATTTTGTTTTAGTCGCCATTGCTGCAGAAAAGCCCCGCCTCACACAGGGAGCATGTCGGAAATAGCAACAGTGCTACTGTGGC